TCCAATTGGGCCAACACTTCGAAGTCATTCTGAGCGCCGCTAAGACTCTGTTGGAACTGTTGGTGCGCTTCGCGAAGGGCGCGGATCTCTTCGATGGAGTTGCAGCGGACGGGATCTGTCAGGTCTTCCTCCGCGTTCTCAAACCACGAGTTGAACGCCGAGGCCTTCTTCGCGAACGTCAGGAACAGGTCTTCGATCTGTTTGAACTGGTCTTGCATTCGGAGGAGCCGTTGTTTGCGCGCTTCGGAGGCGCCCAACAGGTTATGCCAACGACTCATGACGTCGTCGTGGCGTTTACTGATGGCAGAGGTCTGGTTGTGGTTGGAGGCCGTCAACTGATCCTTGAGCTGAGTTATGCTTTGTATGCCTTCCTGTTCGAAGGCAGCCAACCCGGCGTCGAAGGTCTCTTGTTTCTGATCGCAACACAAATGGTAGACAACAATCAATACACGTCTTTGACATACAGTTAACAATAGATAATAGACAATACATACCGTCAATAGAGTAGACACACTGGAGAGGTCGCGGCCATAATCATCGCTGCGGACCTGAACCTCCTTATCGGCGATCCAGGACTCGACCACATCGGCCTTCCACATGAACTGCAAGTACGCGCTGTTGTCCAGTAGTTTGCCTTTCCGGCGGCGAGCGCTTCCGTCCAACGCATCCAAACGAGTGGACAGTTGTTGCAGACGCTGTTGAATACCGTCCGAGTGGTGATTACCCTCAGCCACGAGCTGTTGTCCGGCGTTTATAATATCAGCACATCTTTCCCGATGAACGGCAAAGTCGGCTTCAAAGGCGTCGTGTTTTTTCAACAGTCCCTTAGATTTCAAATTAATATTTCAATCAATTAACTGATATTCACAACAAACGTCCGGTCATTGCATACCTGAACGGCAGCCATAGTATCGCCGTAGTCTTCAATGGACAGGAGCTGATGTTTCTCTGAAATCCAGGCCTCTTCCTCCTCCACTTTCGCCAAGAATTGCTGGAAAACCAGCGATTCCTCCAACTTATTGCCCCTCAAAGTGGCCATACGTTTCAAATCGTGCCAATTCTGTTCGAGCGCCTGAAGCCGCTGCTCAATCTCGGGAACTCCCAAATTGCTCTCAACCATCAGTTTCTGTCCGGCGTCCTGAACGGCCTGAATGGAGGGCTCGTGCGACCCGAGCTCTGCCTCCAGACGCTTATGCTTTTTGCGCAAATTCTGAACGCCAGTCAAATCGCGACCGTAATCGTCGCTATTCACCAACAGTTTCTTCTCTTTGATCCACGACTCCTCGTCGGCGATGTCTCTGAAGAACTGATGCAATGTATTCGCCTCATTGAGTCGAGTGCGCCGGTATGTCGCCAATGTCTTCACCCTCTCGTACCTGTCATTCGTATCCAAAACCATATTAAAAACTACCCACAAATCAAAAGCAATTATCTCTTCGCGCAAACATACCGTTCATTAATGGACGAGCGTTTCTCCTGAATGGTCACAGTATCAAACTGTCCGCTCTCTATCAGACTGTCGGCCAATCCATTCATGTCTCGGATGCGGTCCTCGTGGGCCTGAATGTCCGCCTCAACCAATTGATGCTTTTTGATGAGATTCTGAACGGACGCCAAGTCTTTGCCGGAGTCCTCACTCTTGAGGAGACCCTCCACTTCTCCCAACCAGAAGTCAATGTCCTTAACGGCTGCGTTGAATGTGCGCTGTTTATTGGCCTCTTTCAGTTTCAACGACTTCTCGGTCGTCTTCTGCGACAGATGTGTCCACTGCTCGGCGATCGATGTCAACCGTTGCTGAACAGCCTCTTCACTGCCCGCGCACTTCCGGTTCTTAATCAGATTGTCGCCCATCGCCAGCACTGACTGAATGCGATCCTTATTGGCCGCCAATTCGGCCTCAAATGCTGTTCACAAATATCATAAAACAAATTAATTTCAAACCAAAATCCAATATAAATATAAATTATAATCTACTTATAGTTAGAACTAATTAATCAGATATTAGCTGACAATCATAGGCTATGATCTCAAAAACAATTAAAAAAGAGAGTACACCTTATAGAGCATGTGTGGATTTAGACATTTCATCATTTAAAATCAAACTACAAATAAAAGCAGAATCAACGCGTGACACATACCCTGATGTTTCTGATGCTTGGACTGTATGTTTGCGGGATCTTTATAGCTCTCATCCATAGCCATCTGGAGCTTCTCTGCGATCCAATTCTCCACTTCGTCGGCATCTCTGGAGAACTGCTGAAGAGTTTGCGATTCACCCAATTTGGAGCGCTTCTCAATCAAAGCCTCCTTCAGATGTCGCCATCGGTTCAAAACCTGTGACTTCTTGTCTTCGATGGACGGCGACGCGTAGTGTTCGGAATCAATCAGTTGTTGAGCCAAACCAGTCAGAGCGCCGATCTTCTCCTCCTGAGCGCTGATCGCTTTATCGAAGTCCTCGTGCTTTTTGATCAACGACTCCACGTTATCGCCGCCCATATCGTCGCTCGAGAGGAACGCCTCCCGACTGGCCATCCAGTTCTCCGCCTGTTCGCAGTCGCGGTAGAACAGCATCAGTTCAAGACACTGATCCAGTTTGGCTCGTCTGGCGATCCACGCCCTCTCGAGCTCTTCGCGCGCGCGAGACATTTGGTCCAACTTTCCCTCCACTTCGCCGCTCGCGTAATGACCCGATTGAAGCAAATGCTGACCAAATATCTCAAACTGTTGGAAAGGTCCCGCCCGGGCGTCGATCTCAGTCCGGTGTTCCTGATGTCTCTCCAACAGCGCTTCAGCGCCCGTCACATCATTGGCCAACTCTTCGCTGGACACCAGTGTCATCATTGAGTTGATCCAAGACATCAGATCGCGATAATCGGCCAAAAATGTCTGCAAATCATACGAACTAAAGAGCTTCTCTTTGCGAGCGTTCGCTTTGGCCGTCAATTGACTCCAATCGTCGTTAATCTCGCGTTGCTTTTCAAATGTCTGGTCCGCGGACTCGGGATGCGTTTGCATCAGACGACTGGCCGTCTCATCCAATTGTTTAATCTTATCTCCGAGAGCCGCCAAATCCCGCTCCAGACCCTCGTGTTTGCGCTGTAATGTCTGAACCGATCGCAAGTCGTGGCCGTAATCGTCATTATTCAAGGCGTCGTCTTTCTCTTGAATCCAATCCTTAGTCTCGTCGACATCTCTGTGGAAGCGTTGGACCTCATGAGCCGAACCCAACTGTTGGGCCCTCTCTTGGGTCACCTCTTGAAGGTGTGTCCACTTCTGGTTCAACTCATCGACTTGTTGTGTGATCTTAACGGCCGCCTCTGTCTGTCCCAAACTGGACAGTTGTGTCGCGATTTCGTTCATCTCCGCCAACCGAACCTCATTGGCCCGAAGGTCGCCCATAAAGTCGTCGAACTTCTTCTGGAACACCTCCACCTGTTCCAAGTCGTCGCCCACTTCGTGTACGGCCGCCACCTGTTCCTTGTCTTTGATCCATTGGGCCAACTCCGCCGCCTCCCGAACCAATTGGTACGCTTTGCACGACTCCTCCAGTTTGCCCTTACGTTCCCTTTATATGGAATAATACATTTTAATTAATAATCTGTAATACAATTTATAATTAACAAATAATTATAATATAATAATTAGTCAGAAATAAGATGACAATCATAGGCTATGATCTCCGACGTGAGAGTACACCTTATATGGGGGGTTGGCGAAGACATGTTCATCATTTAAAACTAAATTACAAATCAACCATAAAAATGGTAACAACTGGTCATACCTTCCGAGTGCGAGCAGATTGTCGTACTGGGCCTCGATCTGTGTCTGTCGGGCGCCGATACTGTTCTGATGAGCCAAATGCTGTTGACTGGCCGACAACACCGCCTCAATCTTCTTAACATAAGCCGCGGGTACGAAACCCTGTCTGTCGTTGACCTCCACTTTCCACCAGTCCTTGTTGTTGCTGTTCAAGAGTGTGAGGACATCACCCTTTTTCATGGACACCTCGCGGGGGGAGGTCTCCAGGTAGTCGAACAGCGCCATAACGCACTCTTTGCCCCCCTGGTCGACAGTGGGCTGTTCCTGTTGCTTACAATTGCCCGCCTGTTCTCTCAGCGCCTGAATAGTGTTGGAGAAGGCGTCCAAATCGGCCAGAAGTGCCTCGTGTTTCTTCAGCAACGCTTCCGTCGAATCCTCGTCTTTGCCGAAGTCGTACGAACCCACGATCGGCTCCTTTTCCTATTCGTATTAATACACAATCATTAGTAAATCATTGCAAATAACTATTTAGTTTTCAAATAAAAGACCGCTAATCAAGCGCTAAAAACTGATTAACAAATATAAAATCCACTCAACTAAAGTAACCATAATTAATAATCAGAATAAAATGGATCAATCATAGACTGTAACCCCTTAAAGGGGTACACCGTATGAGAGGGCAAGTAATTCATCATATATTCAGACCAATAGCGGGCAATATTAATGACTAAACATTGGCGTAAGTGTTACTCACTCTCATCCAGGACTCGGCCTNCTGTAACCCCTTAAAGGGGTACACCGTATGAGAGGGCAAGTAATTCATCATATATTCAGACCAATAGCGGGCAATATTAATGACTAAACATTGGCGTAAGTGTTACTCACTCTCATCCAGGACTCGGCCTCATTGGCGTCGGCGAAGTACTGGTGCGCCTGCAGTGAGTCCTCCAAGTCTTGCTTCCGTTGATTGGCCTTATCTTTGAGTGAATGCCAGCGATCGTTGAGTCCGTAAACTCGCTTTTGGATCTCTTCGGAAGCGAAGTGTCCCTCTCTGATCATGTCTTCAGCCGATTGACACACAGAACGGATCCGGTGCTCGTGATTGTTAATCTCAGCCAACACTGCCTGATGTTTTTTAATCAGGTTCTGAACACCAATCAGATCGCGGCCTCTATTAGTGGACGCGGCAATGGGTTCCTTCTCACGGATCCAACTCTCCTCGTCCTCGAGATCGCGGAACAGCTGCTGCACTCGTAGGGCGTCGTTGAGGCGATCCCTGCGAGCCTTCATCGGTGTCTGTAATGTCTTATACCGTTCTGTAAGCGCGTTCTGTTTGGTCTGAATGGCTTCGGCGTCAAAATGGCCGCCTTCTATGAATTGGTTCGCCTGAATCACTACACCGTCGATGCGGTCCTGATGTGAGAGTACGTCCGCTTCGAGAAGCGCTTGTTTTTTCAACAGATTCTGAACGGACGTCAAATCTCGGCCGTAGTCTTCACTCCCCAATTGGCCTTCAATTTCGGTCAACCAAAGTTCAATGTCTTCGACGCCGCGATTAAACTGCTGCTGAGCGGCCGCTTCGGCCAACTTAGAGCCCTTGCCTTCGGCCGACTCGACCAACGATTGCCACAACTCCGAGATCTGAGTGATGCGCTCCTCAATCTTGGGGGCGGCGTAATGGCGGTTATCAATGAGCTCTTTGCCCACAGTTGTGATCTCATCGATGCGAGACTTATTGGCGTTCAGCTCCTGTTCAAAGTTCTGGTGCTTCTGAAGCTTTCCATTCAGATTCGTCGGATCCAAATAGGACTCATCGGTGGCGGTCTTCAGCTTCTCAGTGATCCAACCCTTGGTCTCATCGCAATCCCTCTCAAACTGTTGCAAACGATACGAGTCTTCGAGCATCGATCGGCGCACAGCCGACCGCTCCAACAGCGCGTTCCGGCGCTCGAGTAGTGCCCCGCGGCGTTGGGCCACGTCGTCAGTGGCGTAGTGCTGGCCTTCAATCAATTTGGTCGCGAACTCGTCCAACGCCTTGATCTTCTCCTCCTGAGCGGCCAACGACTTCTCAAAGTCTTCGTGCTTTTTGATCAACGCCTCCACGGAGTCGAGCGAATCGCCGAGATCTTCGTTGGCGAGGAATGCCTCCTGTTTGGCCATCCATGTGTCCGCCTGTTCGGTGTCCCGATAGAAGAGCTGCAAATCCATACACTGTTCGTATAGAATACGTCTGTCCTCCCAGAGAGCGGTCAACGATTGATGGCGAGGAAGGCCTCCTGTTTGGCCATCCATGTGTCCGCCTGTTCGGTGTCCCGATAGAAGAGCTGCAAATCCATACACTGTTCGTATAGAATACGTCTGTCCTCCCAGAGAGCGGTCAACGATTGTTTCTCGTTCGACAATTGGATCAGTTTTTCGTTCACTTCGTCTCTGGAGATGTTTTGCTCCAGAAGTCGATGTCCGGCCTCTCCGCTCACGCGGAAGCTGTCGGCGCGCGCGTCGATTTCGCCCCAATGTTCCTGATGTCTCTCCAGTAAGGCCTCAGCGCCCGCCACGTCTTTGGCCAACTCGTCCGCCGATATAATGGCTTTCATGTCGTGAACCCAAGAGATAAGGTCCCGGAAATCGGCCAAAAACTGGTGCAATAGATACGACTCGTCCAGACGGCGGCGTCGATCCAAAGCCTTAGACTTCAACTGTTCCCAAGTGCTCACAATCTCCGAGTGTTTAGCGCGTGTCTGGTCGGCCAGGTCTTCGTGAATACCGCACAACCGGTGGGCCTCCTGTCCCAGAGTGTCCACTTTGTCCGACAGAGCGGCCAAATCGCGTTCAATGCCCTCATGTTTCTAATAATACACAAAATACATAATTAATAAACTTATAATTCAATAAATAACCACTTTTTAAAAATGGCATAAATATCGCAAATAACTTATAAATAAAAATATCAGTAAAATGTATCAATCATTGGATATCTCCTAATAATAAGAAGTTATCCGTAAGAGAGGGACATAGGATTCATCACAAGTGGTCGCAAATATCACAAAATATAATCAATTTTAAGTTAACGCTTACTCTCTGAAGGGTCTGAACGGAGACCAAATCGCGGCCGTAATCATCGCTGGAGAGGACGACATCCTTTTCGGTGATCCAAGCGATGGTTTCGTTGGCGTCTCGATTGAAACGCTGGATCTCGTGGGCGCCGAATAGCTTCTCCTGTCTGAGGAGAGTCAGCTGCCGAAGGCGTTGCCACGACTCGTTCAACTCGTCTTTGCGCTTCACCACCAGTTCGAGCTCCGGGTGTTGATCGCGGATCAGTTGGTCCGCCTGTTCGTTCACATCCACTATACGGCTCTCCTGTGAGGCCATGTCCTTCTGGAACTCATCGAACTTGCGCTGCAAGAGCTCCACGTGCTCTAAGTCCTGTCCGATCTCATCGGTGGCCACCAGCTGTTCCTTGTCCTTAATCCAGAACATCACTTCATCGCACTGGCGCTGGAACTGCACCAATACGAGCGCCTGCTGTAGCTTAAGACCTTTATCGGCCAATTTCGAGAGCAGTAGTTCCCAGAGTCGGTGCAATTCGTCCAAACGGTGCTATCAATTAAATAATTATCATTAAATTTTTGTCACAAATGGTTAAACATTTAAATTCATTTCAATTAAGTTAATAATCAGAATAAAAAGCTGTTATCATAACGTGTCCGCCATTGTATGGGAACAGCATCTAAGAGCTGGGTGTGTCATCATATGTACTGATCCAGTGGCTAAACCACTGGTCATAAAGCTATGTTCAAAACCAAAAGGACACTCACTCTGATAACATCTGTGGCGAAGTGTTGCTGATTGATCATCTCGTAGCCGATCTGATCCAAGTGTACGATAGCGTTGCTATGGGCGGCCACTTCGGCCTCGAAAGCCTGATGCTTCTGGATCTTGGCCTGAAGATTGGTCGGATCCCTATAGGACTCGTCGCTCGCGGTCTGCAGCTTCTCATTGATCCACGACTCGAGTTCGTCGGCGTCTCTCTTGAAGTACTGGAACCGACGCGAGTCCTCCAACTTTG